GTTTGCATAGAAAATTAAAGTTATTTACATCAGTTAACCATTCGATAAGCGTTAACCTCATTAAACCGATAGAAGTGGTTCACATAAAGGAAAATAAAACTGTCTTTATCATATTTTGTCTTTGCACTTCGCTTCGGTAGTACCCTATTTCTGATGGCGATGCTACACAATGTTTAACGCTGATTTCATATCATCTATCTTTGCGTTTTTATTTTGATGGGGCGTGTTTGTATTGGATACTGCATCGCGTTTGGTAAGCGAACGCCATCATCTTGATGCAACCAAAGTTTTACTGCCGAACAGATGGCCCATGTACCACATTTAAAAAAGAAATAAACCAAGAGTGATCTATGATATATAGTTCAAATCATATCTAGATATGGATACCTTTTAACTATTCACAATTAACTAATTTCAACTTTTCATAATAAAGTAATATGAATTCCAACGATTTGTAATGATCTATATGAAAAATTGTTTACTCAGTATTGCGTAATAGTACGTTATTGCGCAACAGCAAGGTATTGCGCAACGTCATGGTTTTTGCGCAATTACAAGAAATAAATACATAATTCTGTTAACAAATTTCAATGGGGATTGATTTAAAGACTTCAATTGTTGGGGTTCTTACCGTTTAGGAATTAGGGGCACAAAAGTGGGGAACAATGATTTTCAAGTTTCCAGACAATTCCTTGAGTTTAAGTCTTATAAAATTGTACCACAAGGTTCTGAAAACTGATATACTCAGTAGTGCGCAACAGCACGATATCGCGCAACAACAAGAAATCTTAAATTGAATATACATACAAATCTCTTAAACATTTTCAATGGGGGATTAGTTTAAGAATTTAAATTGTTTAGGTTCTTATCGTGTATTTGATTATGATATTGGGCCCCGTTTGAAATGGTCCACATTGAGGTCCAAAGGGTTCAAAATTGAACTTCGTTTGATTTCATCAAAAACTGAATCTTTGTGGCTTTATGCCAGATATGCTGTATCTAACCGTGTATTTGGATATTGGACCGTGATAGGTAAACGCCTAATTTCAAATGTTTAAGTTCTTTGATTATATTCATTCTGTACCAAAAACCTATGCTATGTCAAAAATTTAATCACAATCAAAATTCAGATCTTTATCAAGCTTGAATGTTGTCTCTATATTTGCCCCTACTTTTCAGGGTTCGACCTCTGCGGTCTTATCAAGCTGCGGCCGGCGGATCATTTTATTTATATTGTTGGAGGTGGTGCGGTTTGAATAGTTAAACACTGACACAAGGCTTTAATTCATAAAAACTGGAATCTGCGGAACTTTTATCACGAAATAGGGTATTTTACCATGCCACTGAGATTCAAATTGAATGTATATATGCTGGTTAAAATTCCAGTTTGGTACTGTAATCAAGACATTAATTACGAAGCCCCATGTACAGGGACACGTCACTCCCTGTGCATATAAAAGTTATATACATTTCATGTTGTTCATGTTTTACTGCTGTCTCAGGTTAGGTTGAAGGTTGGTGCGCCTGTCAACACGTTTAAACCCGCTGCATATTTTATATGCCCCTGTCCTAATTAGTCAGGAGCCTGTTGTTCAGTGGTTGCCGTTTGTTGCTGTGGTTCATATGTGTATTTCGTTTCTCGTATTTTATATTATATAGATTAGACCGTTGGTTTTCCTGTTTGAATTGTTTTACACTGGTTATGTTTGAGTCCTTGATAGCTTGCTGTTCGGTGTGAGCCAAGGCTCCGTGTTGAAACCGTACTTTGACCTATAATTGTTAACTTATAATACATTGTCAATTGGATGGAGAGTTGTCTCATTGGCACTCATACCACATCTTATCTATATATGTAAATAACCGTCGGATTAATGGTCACCTTTGAACTTTTTTCAAACAAAATCGTTGGCATCAGCTATGCCTTTATTTTATACATTTAGGTTTTTTCCAAGATGCAAGAAGCATCTTTTAAATTTTTATGTCTCAATTCTCATTTTTGGACATTTATACCTGAATTTGATATCGTTTATTTCTATTTGCGTCAGAATATCCGTTTATTCATTGGTTGCTTACTTTATGATACATGGTACAGGTCTGATGAGTTAAACCATTTGAAAAAGTGATGCAACACTGTCCTAGGTTACAGGGATGGTTTGGGTCCAGCAAATACTTTTAACCTCGCTGCATATATACTATATGTACCGGTCCCAAATTCAGGAGCCTGTCATGTTAGTGCTTGTCGCTTGTTGCTGTGTGTTATATTTGTTTTTCTTTTATTGTGTTTTAAACAAATCTGGCTGTTGGTTTGTCCCGTCTGAATGTTTTACACTAGTCAAATATGGTCATTTATAGCTTACTTTGCGGTGCGAGTCAAGGCTCCATGTTGAAAGCCGTACTGTATTTGCAGATCATCTTGACTTTTTACAATTAAACTTGCAATATTTTCAAAACAAGTGTATTTGTGAAAAAGTAAACTTAGTTAAATGCAAACAATACAAGTATATTTTCAGTAAATGAAAAAGGTGAGAAACAACTCGACAAGTAAACATTATTAGCAAGGAAAGTGCACAAAATACAACACCACAAAATAAGAATAAACATTTTGTTGACTTTGTTAATATAAACTTGTAGAGAAGAAGTTATCAAGTGCACTTTAAGAAAGTAGAAAGTTTAGAAAATAACTCCACTTGTAAACAAAATGAAGTATACAAAGTTTGTTATAATGGAACTATCAGACTAGTTGTAGTATGTAACAAGTGAACAAATACCATGTACACAATGCGAGTCTTTACGTTTTGTTCACTTTGTTAAAGTAAACTTGTTCGGAAGAAAATAACACATGCACTTTTGGAAGGTCGCAAAGTTTAGAAAATAACTAAACAAGTACACAAGGTTTGTTATAATGCAACTTTACCACTTATTTTTTTCAACAAGTTGAGTTGAGAACTGATCAACTCGTGACTATTATAAGCTTCCATAGTTTCATTTTATTATGTGACAAGAATACTTAACTAAGTGACAAGTACTAAATTAGCTGACAAATCGGCTTATTTAGCTTATTATGACGACTTAACTGAGTGACAAGTAGGGGCAGATATATGCCACCATAGTTTCTCCAGTACTGTAATCAATAGATCATTATAATTTGTTCTCTCGAATGACAGTAAAGTGTGCCTGTCCGTCTACTATGGTTCAAATTACCTTGACCTCATTGTCATGGTTCAGTGGTTAATATGTACTTTTAATTGCGTATACCTATTTCAGAAACTACTAGCAACAGTTCGTACGCTATATGTTGTATATGATTGTAAAGTTACATGTCTATCTGACCTTGACCTCATTTTCATGGTCCATAGGTCAATATGAAATGTTCCTGGTTTTAAACGACTGTTTCGCTCTGATACTTTTAGATATAGGCCTACTATATGTATTGGAACATTTTAAGGTGTACATGTCAGTGTGGTAGTCTTGACAAGACCATGACCTCATTACCAATGATCATTGCTTATGGTACGTATAGTAAAACTTTGCCTATACTTTGAAATGTAATCGAGATGATAACAACAGCTAGACATTTCAGCAGGTGCACTATTGTTTGTTGGTTTTTGGTTCATTATGAAATTGTTTGGCTTGTCGTTCTAGAGTTATTGAACTCAAACTGTCAGATCAAAGGAAATGTTTTACATATCACTGATCACTACGTAGAGTATGCTCTGATCGATTAACTTTGATGTTAACAACATAGCTAGGAATGGTAACGGTACATGCATATTAGTCAAACAGAACAGCAAGCATAATGCATAATAAGAATTGAAAACACATTAACAATCCATATCAACTTTTCTTAACAGACTTAACCATGTATTTTGTAGCAATTCAAATGAAGTTCTTATACTAAAATCTATCCATCTATGAAATGAAAAGAGCCTATCACCGTCGGATAAAATATGTTACATTTAATAATTCAAAATAAAATATATACAAACATCTGTATACCTCATTACCGCCAAATAAAGAAGCTACATTTTGTCATTTCTGCATCTTTAAACAAATTGTTTAAAACCTAATTAATACGCATTAAAACGTAGGTTTGAAGAATAATCTTTTTATGTAACACATATATGTATAGAAAAAAGCAAAGAAACAATATCGAACTTAAAGGTAAATTAAAAATGTAGAAAGCACATAAAAATGACAAAATCAAATGCAATCAACCAAAGGAATAAATAAAAAAAACAACTGTCATATTCTTGACTTGGTAGAGGCATTTTCCTATGCAAATGGTGGGTTAACTCAATTTGTATGGCTGGCAAAACGTCCATATTGTATGACAGTTGTTAACAGTTGCATTATATTGACAGAACTGATTGAGCACCCCAAACATACATATTTGGTTAATGTGACAATAATTGGGATCCAGCACGACTGTGTTAACATACATCACAGACATATAATACAACTGACTGAAAATTCAAACAAACATACGAATATATCTAACAAAGACGCCAACAAAATAAGGTTGCTATAGTTGATAGTAAAATTGACTACATATATATAACAATTGTGGTGACGAATACTTATGGTCATTGAGGATAACGCAGTAAAATCCAACTCAATCCTTCATTTGGCATTCATTTTTGTGTAGTAACTAGTTAGTTAGTTAATTATAACCTCAGTCGATATTGATTCTTAAAAAATAGAGAAACAATAAGAACGATTGTCTTGCTATTCTGAATTAACTAAAATCTGGTCCTATACACCATTTACGCTTGCAAGCGACTGTTGCAAGTCATGGCCGTTATTATATTCAATCACCATTTGATCCTAAGAACATCGAAATAAAAAAAAATAAGAAGTATAGATGAATTATTGGGAAGAATGAAGATTAATACTATTTTCATTCTTTGTCAGTTGCTTGTTATCTTTTTATCGTGTAATATAGTTTATTTGATTCATTCAGCTGTATATGATATTATGCTCACCCTGTCTACATCGTTTATATCTGCACCTTTGGCAAGATAATTCCTGACCTTTTCTAAATCTCCGGCTTCAGTTGCGTCATGGAGAGCCTGTTAAAAAAAACAGGTATATTTCATGTAACCACTTTTTGTACAAAAGTATCAAATATATTTTGTTTCTATCTTTGGTAATACAAATGCAATATTTGCCGATATTTTTAATGGTCTATTTTATGAAAAGTATAGACTACCTAAACGTTGAGCATTTATTTTCATCTTGACAGATATTGCATTTTATGCTTTATCCTTAAAGATTTGTACATACTAGAGATGATCAGAGTAACACGGTATTTGCTCGCAAACAAAATTACTATTACATTTCGAACAATTCACCTGTACATCAATTGGTTTCCAATTAACAATCTGCTTACCTTATCAAAAGACTTTCATTTGTTTGAGATATGTCTTACGTTTGCGGCATATGCATTAAAGCCAATGATTAAAGTAAACACAACGTCCGACAAGTGTGCTACGATATCATTGTTTAAATGATATGAAACAGAATCTTTACTATGACAAATAAAGGCAACAGCAGTTGAACGAGGTTCAAAATATACAAAGGCTGTTGATCATCAAAAATGTAGTTTATAAAGAGAGTAGGAATTAAACAACTTGAAATTCAAAACTAATAAGTCAAAGAACAAGAGGCTCTCAAGAGCCTTAATCGCTCACCTGTTATTTTTTTTCTTAAATCTTTCAGCAATGATTATTTTTGCTTTTTACCAATATGTTCCATTTTAGCCATAGTGTCTATGTTTCTTGATGTACAGGGAAATGAAATACAAAATTTATACTAGATTCATTTGAGAAGATTTTTAAAGTTAAAAAACATAAAACAACTTGTGTAAAATTGTCCTTAAAAGGCAAAAAATCCTTAAGGGGTCAATTGACAATTTTGGTCATATTAACTTTTTAGATCTTACTTTGCTGAACATTATTGCTGTTTACAGTGTATATCTATCTATAATAATATTTAAGATAATAACAAAAAACTGCAAAATTTCCTTAAAACTACCAATTTAGTGGCAGCAACCCAACAATGAATTGTTCGATTCGTCTGAAAATTTCAGGGCTGATAGTTCTTGACCAATTGAACAATTTTATCCCATGTCAGATTTGCTCTAAAAGCTTTAGTTTCTGAGATATAAGCCAAAAACTGCATTTCACCCCTATGTTCTATTTTTAGCCAATGGCGGCCATGTTTGTTGATGGATCAAAATTTCGGATACAATTCATAAACTAGATTCCTAAAGGAACATTCATGCAAAGTTTAGAAGTATTAGGCACAATAGTTTCAGAAAAGAAGATTTTTAAAAGTTACCAAACTTGATGAGCACATTGCGTAAAATTGTCTATAAAGGGCAATAATTCCTTAAGGGGTCAATTAACAAATTTGGTCATATAAACTTTTTTTGTAGATCTTACTTTGCTGAACATTATTGCTGTTTACAGTTTATATCCATCTATAATAATATTCAAGATAATAACAAAAAACTGTAAAATTTCCTTAAAACTACCAATTTAGTGGCAGCAACCCAACAATGAGTTGTTCGATTCGTCTGAAAATTTCATCTTGACCAATTGAACAATTTCACCCATGTCAGATTTGCTCTAAAAGCTTTAGTTTTGGAGATATAAGCCAAAAACTTCATTTGACCCCTATGTTCTATTTTTAGCCATGGCGGCCATGTTTGTCGATGGATTAAAACTTCGGATACAGTTTATAAACTAGATATCCTAAGGAACATTTAGATGAAGTTTGAAGGTATTTGGCCAAGTAGTTTCAGAGAAGAAGATTTTTAAATGTTCGCAAACTTGATGAACAAATTGTGTAAAATTGTTTTCAAAGGGCAATAACTCCTTAAGGGGTCAATTGACAATTTTGTTCATGTAAAACTTTTTTGTAGATCTTACTTTGCTGAACATTATTGCTGTTTACAGTTTATATCTATCTATAATAATAGTCAAGATAATAACAAAAAACTGCAAAATTTCCTTAAAACTACCAATTTAGTGGCAGCAACCCAACAATGAGTTGTTCGATTCGTCTGAAAATTTCAGGGCTGATAGTTCTTGACCAATTAAACAATGTTATTCCTGTCAGATTTGCTCTAAAAGCTTTAGTTTTTGAGATATAGGCAAAAAACTGCATTTGACCCCTATGTTCTATTTTAATCCATGGCGGCCATGTTTGTCGATGGATCAAAACTTCGGATACAATTTATAAACTAGATACCCTAAGGAACATTTAGTTAAAGTTTGAAGGTATTTGGCCCAGTAGTTTCAGAGGAGAAGATTTTTGAAATAGTTTACGACGACAGACGACAGACGACGACAGACGACAGACGACGACAGACGACAGACGACAACGACAGACGACGGACGACGACTGACGCCAAGTGATGGCATTAGCTCACATGAGGCCCTTCGGGCCCCAGTGAGCTAAAAACTGACAACGCTAAGGCAAAACAACGAAACACTAATAAATGAATAACTAGTCTACACAAAACTACAAAGAAAACTAAAGGCTAAGCAACACAAACCCAAACAGAAACCGATGGTGACCTGAGATAATTGGGATGAATAAGCAAACCCTTCCTTTCTTGTGGCACCGTCCTGTGAGAGAAATCATAAAGACAGGAATACAAATGAAGAATAAAAAGATCCAAACTCAAAGTGGTATATCTAACCATTAGTCGTATTATTTGCAATAAAAAAGCCAAACAAAAGATTTTAAACATTTTGTTTGAAAGCTCTATTATGTTTTTTAAAAAATTCAAATATGTGATGATGTTGATCTTCATTAATTAAAGTGATTTGTCCGAGTCACGTTAAAACCTGGATTTTTAAATAAAATTTATCATTAGGGCAGTATCAAAATTATTAGTTTTCAAAGTTGAGGGAACTCGTTATTTTAATTTTTTTTTTTTAAAAAGCCAAAATTATGTATTTGTATTTCCCAAAACTGAACGTTTGGGATGTAAACTTTATAGAATCAAAGAAGACATAAATGACCTGACTAACTACCAATGCTTGGATAGCGTTTGTTTTAATTGATAAACAATTAGCTGATAATATGTGCAATTAGATATAAAGTCAGGTAAGGCCAAACAAACGTATTAAGAAAAATTATCCATATTGTAGGATCTGTATTTTCACATGTAAAATCGCCAATAACGTAATGAACAGGAAGGAAGAAATACTCGTTTAGCTGCATATGTTAAGTAAGAAGCCTATTCGTTATTCAAAATTCAAATATTCTGAGTAAAAGATAATAAACATAAATATTTGTTTAAAAGAAGTGATCACTCAGGAATTGTATACCTTAAACAGGACACTTTATTGACATGTATGTATCTTTTATATAAATCGGAGTTAAGTGTTGCGTAACTCGCTGCGTTGACGACCCATTGGTGACCTTGGGCTGTTTTCTGCTCTATGGTCCGGTTGTTGTATCTTTGACACATTCCCCGTTTCTATTCTCAATTCTTTCGAACAATTTAAGCTAGAACGGACATTTTTATTTGGGTTTAATATTCAGCATATATTGCAACAGACAACTGGAAAGGGAGTAAATGACAATGAAATCTTCGTGATCAATTATTTGGGTTATATTCCTTTTCTAGAAGATTTGTATTAATTTTCAATCGATAAAATTAATGTTTTTTTTTGTATTATGATATACATTTTGCTTGAGATAATATGATATTGCTTTTTTTTAATGAAAAGTCTTACAAATAAATTCCATGTCAGTATACAATTTGTAAATTCAGTTAAAATCTCTACATTCATTTATGGATTGAAGACAATAGTTTTTAGGTTTTATTAGTATGATTGTTTTTTATTTTTTTTTAGTTATAATTTTTTAATAGAGTAGATATTGTTTTTATTAATTGCACTTACATTTTTGCAAGTTTATTTCAATCGTTAATTTTCAATACAATTATGTTGAAATAAAGTTACACTTTCGTCTGCTAAATTTAGTTAAAGATAAAAGTATTTTCCAAAGAGTTTATTTCAGTGTAGAAAGTTAATCGTTAATCTTAACGGGATTCCTAAATTTTATGACACCATCAGTAGGTCAGTCTAGTCATTTAGAGTTCAAATAATAGTCGTCTGCAATGCAGCTGTGGTGATTTAATTACTTTGTTTTGATCATCTCTCGGAATCAGGTTAAATAAGTCTAAAATGTTATGTCCAATGTTGCAGACGTAAACAGTTCGTCTTTATCATGCAATAAGTTAACATAGAAAACAATGTTGTGAAATTGTAATACGAACTGATTGTAAATATTGTAAATATTGAATTAAAACGTAGTTATTAGCAAACATTCGAGTTAGTTATATGTTATGGATATAATAATGCTATTGGTATAACATTGTCGTCGAACTTCAAGTCCAAAACTGTCGAACTTTATATGAACTTTTATTCCACTGCAGAATTCAACTCCGTAACAATTTATTCAAATGTAACAAGCCATCCAAAATATACAACAAATAAACTGACAAATAAAATAAAACATAATATTAGACAAAGAAGTGAAGTGAAATTAATTAAAAACGTTAAGTTACATCAAATAGTCTGAATGTACAACATGCATCTAATTAACATATGACACCCAGTGTTTGTCTGACCATGTATAACCTAGTGATATGTCACATTCGGTTTTAATCATAACCTTTGAAAATTGTCAGAAAATTTATGATTTACATAATTAGGTTTAAAAAAGGTTTGAAACAACACTTGTTGCGGTGTTCGTGACGTGGTTGTCAATCAAATCAGAACACTTTAAGAACTACCCCAATTCAAAAATTAGGATTGTACTTTTGAGACTGTCAAATGTTCACAAAATACTTTGAAAGAGGGGCAAAAGATACCAGAGGGACATTCAAACTCATAAATCGAACAAAATCTGACAACGCCATGGCTAAAAAAGACAAAGACAAACAGACAAACAATGGTACACAAAACACAACATAGAGAAATAAAGAATAAGCAACACGAACCCCACCAAAAACTTGGGGTGAACTCAGGTGATCCGGAAGGGTAAGCAGATCCTGCTCCACATGTGGCACCGGTCGTGTTGCTCATGTTAGTACAAACCCGGTAAACAGTATAATTCGGTAGGTCATATTCGTGAAAAGGAAACGGGATTGTAGTAACGACATTAGGAACATATCCGCTATCATCTGTGAAACGGATATTCCATAACGGTCAACCAACTCGTGATGGCGTCCGTAAAATTTACGAAGGGATGATTTCAACTTCACCGTTTGGAACTCTTGGTTTAAAAGCTTCCTTGTGAGCAGCAACCCTCTATCAAGAAAACCATGGTAGGAAATACCAGCCCGGGAATATCGCATCAATTAAGATTTAAAGTAGCATATTAAAAGTGGGATGGATCTGAAACGCTTTTCTGAATTTACCTTCATCAGGAACGCTCAAATCCAAATATTGTAAAGGCAAGGATGTATAAGTACAGAATCACTGACATACATCATATGTTTAACCACACTGTTATTTCTACAAGCCATTCTGTTCACTAACTACTTTGTAACAAAAGTATTCATTAGAACATATTTGACAGGCACCAATCCATGTAATAAGCCATACATTCAAGCATGCAATAAATTCTAATGACCTACACTGGTAGTTCAAACGGACAGGATTGAATGGCACATGTTTTTTTAATACGATAGAAATATAGCCAATCTTATTTCTTTCAAATTACAATAATGTGAAAGAAATTAATTGTTATGAGTGGTTATAAGTATGAACATCTCAAAATCTAACTAGGACTAATAATACTTGAAAAGATTACTTGTAATGATCCACATCTTTGTAACATAAACGTAAAAACCTGTTTCTTCTTAAACTTTCGTTAACTAAGCTTTAAACAAAAAATGTTGTGAATAAGGCATTAGGGTTTTTTGAAATTAATTATAATTAACCATGATACTCTGTTTAATATTATGTAAAATAATAATAACGATAATAGGAAGCAGCGAACACAATGTTATGGAATGAAAACAACACTTTATAAATGATATATTAATTTATGCCAATCTGTTAGCTAAAAAAGAGATATATTGAATAGGTCTTTAAACTCGGGTAAATTGAAATAAAACTGATGTGACGTCAAAACCTGAATTCGGAATACGATATAGCTGTTTTTTTTCTGAATGAAAAAGGATAAAGCTTTATCACAAATACGAATGATAAGATTTCTCTCATTTGAGTAAAACTTACCTCATTTAGCTGCCAACTTGCCATCTTCTATCTGTAAAATAATCATACACATTAATTATGTGTGTTAAATCTTTGCAGAAAACCGTTTTGATGGCAACTGTTACAACAAATACAAATTGGTGTGTCAATCCAGACCTCCTGAGGAGCTGAACAATTACAGTTTAATTAAAGTATACAAATAATTGTGATGGTTTTTTTTTTCACTTCAAATTACAATAAACCAAAATGTATTACTATATATGAAAAGGGAGACAATACAAACAGTGTATTCCCAAAGATAATGAGTGAGTGAACACAATCAGTTTTTTTGTACTACTTAAGAAAGATCTGGCGGGTCACTCATGACTTAAGTTTGCATTTCTAATCTTAGTTACACTATCTATAAATTTTATCATAAAAGCATTAACTATTGGATTTTCATTTGACATCAACCAAATAAATTATTGATGTATCAGCAAATTAGGATAATAGAACTAAACTGAAACTGGACACTTTTAGTTTTATGCAACGGACATTGAAGAATTCAAGAATTTCATCCTCCACAATTTCATTGTAACGTAATCTACAAAATCTGTTGTTTAAAGGTATTCCGTTGTGTCTTATCTATTTTATTTCAAGTTCATGAGCACTGATTCTAGATTTGGTTAACTCATTTATTTTTTGACAAAACTTTTCAATAGAAAATATTTTTTCAAGACCAATATCATTTTAAAACACTCTATAACATGTATAAGTACTTAATTGATTTCCTTGCACAATGCCAGGTTTGTCATTATTTCAATTGATATACAAAAATTCATCATATTTAATTCTGAGTCTTTTTCTGTTAATTGACCTTATATACAATTTGTGATTAAACAATCATTCTGGTGTTAAATTAAAATTTTCAAATAATGTATAAGTGTCACTCAACCAGTAGTCGCTACATTTGTTAAACTCTTCAGATGCCTCTTTAATGATGAAGTTATTTTGTTCTGATAGTCTGACCCAAAATATAGAGCTATTAAGAATAACCTCAAGAAGGTATTGCCCGTTACTGCTAGGTTAGTTGATCTTCTAGGTGCCTGTAGAGAATATTTACAAAATTTAACAAGTAATTTTTCAATAACTTAATCTTTACTGATTTGGAAAAATAGTTATTTCCTTTTATTGTAACTTATTTTGAGAGATTTGTTACTAAATTTCTAAGCCATAAAATAAAATTTGCTTCAGTTTGAAGACGTACTTTAACATAAAGACAGGTTGTCAAAAATAAGTCATCAAAGATACCAGACAAATGTTAATAATACTCATTAGAGGCGCTTGCATCAAAACAGTTAACAGTTTAAGTCAACTAGGAAGTTGAGCAGCACTGAAACCCTCTAGTTTCAAATAATTAAAGAAATGCCAAATTATGACTTGAAGTAAAAAATATTGGTTTTTCGAATGATGCTTAAAATTTTATACGACAAGTCTCGGTATTTTGTACATCCAACATTCATGTATTTATTTTTGATGTTTCTGCGATGGTTTCGGGATAATCTGTTATGTCTTATCGTTTGTAGTCTAAATAATTATAAAATTGCCTTTCCATAACATCATTGTCATAATAATTGTTTTGACGAGTATTGTGAAATAATTGTATAAAGTTCGAGATTTCGTGTTAGTTACGTAAGCGCGTCACTGTTTTGTGGTGTTTGTCGTTGATGGAATATATTCGTTGCTGTTCTGTGGTTGGCATGTTGTGTCGACTATTACATTTTATTGTATGTGCGTTTCTCTGTGATGAATGTTCTTGCGTGTGTTTGCGCTGTATTTCTTTCACGGTGTGTTGTCATTTTAGCGATATAATTTTTTTTAACATTGTCATAAAGCGGGAGGTTTGGCATGACATTAAACCAGGTTCAACCCACCATTTTTTCTTAAAATGTCCTGTACCAAGTCAGGAATATGACAGTTGTTATTAAAAAGTAAAATCACAAAAATACTGAACTCCGAGGAAAATTCAATAAGAAAGTCCCTAATCACATGGCAAAATCAAATGACAAAACACATCAAACGAATGGACAACAACTGTCATATTCCTGACTTGGTAGAGGCATTTTCAAATGTAGAAAATGGTGGTTTGAACCTGGTTTTATAGCGCTAAACCTCTCACTTGTACGACAGTCTTATCAAATTCCGTTATATTTACAAGGATGAGTGAACAAAACAGACATTATCAATAAAATAGTCAAAATAGTTCGTTTCTATGTATGTTGGCGTTTGTTTTTGTTACACTTCAGTGTTCCTGTTGTTCCTTTGTTTTCCTCTTATAGTTGATGTGTTTTCCTCGGTTTTAGTTTGTAACCCGAATTTGTTTTCTCTCAATCGATTTATGACTTTTGAACAGCGGTATACTACTGTTGCCTTTATTTATTGAACCAATGCATGCATATATACTAAACCAGTATTGCATGCATATTTTTTTTTATATTTATTTCACATCTATAACGTATTATCGACAAACAATATTACATTCAGTGGTTGTTTATCGCAAGCTAATTATCTTTCGAGTTTGTTGCCGAAGTAAACCGGATTGTGTCATTGACAATTAATAAAACAGAGCACGTGTAAAGCGTGACAGGTAAGTGAATTGAAAGAGCCATGACATTTGTTTTTATATTTTCCATGCGTTCCCATTTGTTAATTAAACTTTTCTTTAACAGTTGTTAAATGATTTGTTGTATTACATTTGTTCTGTGAGAATCTGTTATTTTTATTTACCCTCAGGAGCACGTGTGTTTACATGTTTTCATCACAGTTTTCCCCTTGCACTTGCGCTGTGGGGTGGCTGAAGTTATAACGAGAGGTCTCGTAGTTAAGGTCACCGCATACGGAAGAATATGGCCGAATTAGAGTCTGGGAAGTCAATAATTCAATATCGGTACATTTATGACGATTTTGATAGTATAAAGGATGTTCTTTGAAAAAAAAGTTCACGTTCACTTCTTTTAGAATAAAACATGGCCATTAAAGTACATAAAAACATGTCAACTTTTTTTTTTGAATCTGACGTTTCATATGACTTTAAGAGCGTAAAGTTTGACAACTCGGGATGCAGATGATTTTTCACTTATTTTGCATGTTAAAGATGTGGATACTTTAACCTTCCGTACATATTAACAGAACGTACGAGACCTGAAGCAATTATGAAATTTGCCAAATGCATTTGATGTTTAATGCGACCGATTCGTTAAAAAAAAAAATTTGGATATATTTTTCATTTTTTTCACTAATATTTTAATGATTAAACAAAAAATAACTATAAACACACAAATAAAAAACAAAAACCTTTTTTTAAAACCATGATTTTCTTTTTCGAGAACTAGGAAATATCGGTTGGAAACAATTATGAACGCAGTAGTCCTGTTCCATTCTAATTCGTTCTATAACTTTCACGTTATCCCTGAACCAACAAAAAGATAAAAGATTGAGAGTGATAATATATATGAATTTCTGCAGAACAAAACCCCTGCAGTTAATAAGTAAGTTCTAATTAATAGAATAGAATAGACACATGAAATATGAATGATACACAATGAGAGATGTAGCGAATTCTGAAGTAATACTTCGATAAACTGGGTGAGATTGAGAACCGACTATTTTGGAAGATGTAGGAAATTGAAAAAAAAAATCCATCCAATTTAATTAAGCGACTATTTTTTCATTGTTCTATCGGTCTCTCTACGATTTATAAATTTCGTTTTTCCCTTTTGGTATCGTCTGCAACGTTGTTTAGGAATAATTGTAATTTTGATCAAACATAATGTTATCGTACAATATTTGGTGTGAAATGTGCTTTTTATTGAATCCATGCACGTGAAATCATAAGTTTGCAATCAATATCTGCATTTGTTATATATTTTATTAAAGGTTTTGACAGTGTTTTATATACTCATATGAAGCGGAATTAAACAGAACTTCACAAAGAAATATAGAAAACAAAAATACATGCACAGTTCTTTAATTTCACATTTCGATATTTTGATGATGTCCTGTCACTCCATACCCATAGTTGAAAGATGAAGTAATAAAAATACCAAACTCCAAGGAAATTTCTAAACGGAAAGTCCCATATCAAATGGTAAAATCAAAAGCACATCAAACACTTCAAACGAATGGAAAACAACTTTCATATTCCTGACTTTGTACTTGAATGAGTGCTTACATGTTTTACATTTCCTACATTTTTAAATTTATTTTTCTTTTAGTTTGATTGTCCCTTTGGTATCGTTCGTCTCTCTTTTACATCTCAGTAAACATGGTAAATATGATATTAGGGATAAGTAGAAGGCCTGCTTCATATCTTGATATGTTTTATCCGGTATTGACACAGATAGACGAATGTATACTATGATTTATGACAAACTTGATGATTTCCATTTTTTTATTGTCATTTTCCCATCTCTTAACAACAGTGTACCCTCTGTTCAGTCGTTTGGTGTTTGTATATCTAGGTTAATACGTCACGCTCGTGTATGCTCGAACTGTACTGACTTCGATAACGATACCATGTAGTGTAAAGACCTGAATTTAAAAGTCTTCAAACGTATCGAATTAACATTCACGAAAATGTTTGATATTAATACTTTTGTAGTATAAGTCACCGAAATAAGATTAAAAACATACCAAATTGAATAAAAATTGCATCGTGAAGGTAGTTATGTTTTGCATTTAAAAACTTTTCTTCGACATTTTGCAACTGAATCACAAGCTTTGCAATGTAATAATACATAAAATATTCTACTACTGACTATCATGTTAAATGTTTTATAGACAGTTCCATGTTCTTTTAGATGTCCAAGGCAAATTATTGTATTAAGAAATGTTAGTGTCCTGTAACAGATTATTTCTGTTGCAGATATGTTTCCTTTGTTCTGTATTTTAATTATCTATTACATATTCATCATAGTTCTAAGAAATGATTAGATTTTGAATGATGAACATGTATATTCCAAGAGTTATATTACACTGATGAGTACTTCATATCCTGGTAAATTATGATATAAT